CTCTATAGTAGGTGTTTAACCATAAACTCTAGAGTTTGAACCTTTTTTTTTAATTCTTAGTTTTGTACTAATGTGGATAAAAAGTAAAAACAATGAAATGAGATATACCTTAAGAAGTTTCCTTTCTACTTCTATCTTCTTATACTGTATTTTAACTCTTTCCTTTTATCTATAGTTTTCCCATAGTTCCTTACTATGCTTATGTATATCATTAAGCAATATTTTTATTCTATTCTCTGAAATGAAAGGAGATATATACTAGAATTTTAAAAAATTCTTTTCATCGTGGAATAAAGGAAGCATTCTTATTTTGAAGTAACAAAATTATATATATGTCATATATATAGATTTTTATATATGTACTTATGTATATATGGATGTTTGGGTTGTTTCCAATCATTTGCTTTTACAAGCAGTGCTGCTTACTCTTAAGATAATAAGTCACTGGGTATGCATGTAGGTCTATTTGTAGAACAAATTCTCAGAGCGAAGATTTGGGATCAGTGATAAATGTAATTGAAATTTTAATAATATTTCCAAATTGCTCCTTAGGGGTTTCATTCCCATTAGCAATATAGGAAAGTGCCTGATTTCCCATGGTATTCTCCAAAGAGAGTTGGAAAATATTTTTTACCTATCGAACTAGCAAACTCTAGGAATTAGTTTTATTTTGCATTTTACTACTTTAAAAGGTGCCTAACTTTTCTATGATTTTTCTTTTTTACAATCCCTCAGGTTTTTTTTTTTACAAATAAAACTCACCACCCTATTTCCCCATTATTTTTCACTGAAGTAAAATCGGCATACTTCCTTAGTTTTAGGTTTACAATGTAGTGATTCAACCTTTATGTTCATTGTCAAGAGATCACCATAGTGTCTACTTTGTCTATTTGCCATGTTTTATTTGCAGTTTTCAAATTGTAATATTGACTACACTCCCTATATTAGTGTACAATATTTCCCAGGGTGTATATTTGATAACTGGACATTTGTACGTCTGAATTCCCTTTACCTATTTTACCACTGTCAACTCTATCAACTCTCATTCCACCCCCTTCATCTTTTCTCCACTATATTCTATTCTTTTCCACTCAAGTAACATTTGTTCTGTTGCCAGTATTTTATTTTTTAATTGTTTTGTCCATCAATTTTATATCTTTAACAATGTTCATGTGGATAAAAATCATCTAGCTCTTGTATTTTTCCTTCTGGTTTATTTTACTGTTTTGCAGTCCCCTTGAGCTTATACTATTTTGCTGTGAAGGACAACACTTTATCTTTTAAAAAGTAGTTCTGAAAGGAGAATGCCCTGCCATAGAGGCAGGGTGGGATGGGGGGGTGGGGGTGGGAGGGATACTGGGATCCGCGGTGGTGGGAAATGGGCACTGGTGGAGAGATGGGTATTTGATCATTGTATAATTGAAACCCAAGCACAAAAATGTGTAAGTCTACAGCTGTACCTCATGGTGTCTCACTAATAAAAATTAATTAATTAATTAATTAAAAAATAAAAGTAAAAAGTAGTTCTGTATATTCCATTATAAGAATATACTACATTGTCTTTATCCAGTCATCTATTTATGGGTGTTTTGTTTGGAAAGTGATTACGATGATAATATTCCCTTCAAAAGTATAGCAGGCTTTCTCTCTTTTCTCCAAGTCTCTGGCACACTTTGTCCTTTTTGTTGTCAGCTATACTTACAGTAGTCAGTGGTAATGAGCATTTTCTTATGCATGTCAGTGATATGTAGGCCCTCTTTGGAGAAGTGTCTGTTCGGATCTTCTGCTTAATTTTTAGATTGGATTTTTTATTATCACTTTTTTAATACCTGAATATCAGTTCCTTACTTGATATATGAAATACAAGTATTTCTCCTATTCAATAAATTGTATCATTTATATTTCCTTTTCCATACAAGAGCTTTTTAATTTAATGTGGTTTCAATTGCTTTTATTCCCCTATGGTTGGAGTCGAGTCACCAAAGACATCTCTGATGCTGATGGCCTAGAACACAAATTTCTCCAATATTTTCTATGTATTTTATTATTTGGGGTTTTCATTGAGTCTTTCATCTTGAATTAATTTTTGTACATGGGATTAAGGAGTAGTCTAATTTTATTCTTTTGCATGTAGTTGTCCAGTTTACCCACACTTATTTGTTGAAGACATTTTCCTTTCTTCTTGTATGTTTGTAGACCTCTTGTCACAGATTAAATATTAATAAACATATAGGTTTATTTTAGGGCTTTCAAGTCTTTTCTACTGATTTCTTTTTTCTTTCCTCAAAACCTTGAGTTTTAATTACTGTAACTTTGTACTATACTTTGTCAGGTAACAGGATGGCTTCATTTTATTCCCCTTTTTGCACAACTGGTTTAGAAATTTAAGATCTTGTATAATTTTCATATTTTCTTAGTATTTTTAAATTCTACTTCTTATAAAACCATCATTGGGTATTTTTTCTCCTTGGGGGTTATACCCAGTAATTTTTAAGAGTTATTTCTGGCTCAGTGCTTGGAGACAACTTATTGCATTGCAAAAATCCCCTGGGCTCATGTATGCAAAAAACATATATTCCAACACTTTGAACTGTGTTTCTGTCCCCCTCCTTAGAATTTCAAATGACATTGCATATAATGCTTTTGGTAAGATGGATATTTTGACTGTAGTTATTCTTTCTATCCATGCATATACAGTCCATTTATTGTCTTGTTCTATGTCTTTTAACAATATCTTATTATTTCTTTTATATATATTTTACCTCCTTTGTTAAAATTTTTATTATTAAGGTTTTGTATATGTACTTGCACATATATTTCTAATGTTTCTGATCTATATATTATCATTATATAATTTTTGTCATAAACTATTTTTTTTCTTAAACTTGTTTTATTCATTTTAGGTCATGCCTGGTGATGCTCAGGGATTACTCCTGGTTCTGCACTCAGGAATTATTCCTGATGGTGTCCAGGGGACCATATGGGGTGCCAGGGATAGAACTCAGGTTTGCTGCATGCAAAGCAAACACCCTACCCACTGTACTACCACTCCAGCCCAATATATATATGTATATATATATATATATATATATCACTGTCACTATCCTCCCATTATTCATCGATTTGCTCAAACAAGCCCAGTAACATCTCCATTGTGATGCTTGTTACTGTGTTTGGCACATCAAATACGTCACGGGTAGCTTGCCAGGCTTTGCCATGTGGGCGAGATACTGTCGGTAGCTTGCTGGGTTCTCCAAGAGGGGCAGAAGAATCAAACCTGGGTTGGTCGGGTCGGCCACGTGCAAGACAAATGCCCTACCCGCTGTGCTATTGCTCCAGCCCATATATACATATATATTAAATAATTATTAAATAAAATTACTGTGATTAACAAAGTTGTTCGTAATTGCATTTGAGACATACAATATTCCCACACCAATATCACCACTCCACTCTAGCCCAACATATATATATGTGTGTTATATAAATATATTATTTTTAATTCACTGTGATTAACAAAGTTGTTCATGGTGAATTTGAGATGTACAATATTCCAACACCAATCTCATGATTGGTGTCAACTTTTCTAAATTCATATTCACAGATTCCCTTTTACCACCCCAGCCTGCCTTCTTGGCAGGCACATTTTTAAGTTTAGTTATTGTAATTTGGGTCTCCTGTTTGCAGTGTTGTTGTCTCTGTATTTTAGACATACACATATACCTCTACACCACCACTGAGCTAGGAACCTCTGACCCCTGCACTCCCCTCCTCCCACCCCTGCCACCCCATTCATCACTTTTTAGTTCCTTCTCAATTTTCTTTCTTCCATGTCCTTATTTCTACAATCTAAGGCCCAGGATAATCTAGGTATCCTTTGATATCTTGCATTTCCTAGTCCTGCTATTCTGTATACTACAGATAAGCGAGATTATCCAGTGTTTACAATCTCTGACTTACTTCACTTAACCTGTCACTGTCACTGTCCTCCCATTGTTCATCGATTTGCTCCAGTGGGCCCAATAACATCTCCACTGTGACACTTGTTACTGTGTTTGGCGCATCGAATATGTCATGGGTAGCTTGCCAGACTTTGCCGTGCAGGCGAGGTACTCTCGGTAGCTTGCCGGGCTCTCTGAGAGGGGTGAAGGAATCGAACCCGGGTTAGCCTGGTCGGCTATGTGCAAGGCAACCGCCCTACCTGCTGTACTATCGCTCCAACTCTCTAAATCCACCAAATTGCAGCAAATTGCATAATTTCATCGTTTCTTGCAGCTTGGAGATAGATAAAAAGAAAAGTTGTTGGGTTGAATGGCCACTCTATTCTGAGAAATCTCCATATTTTTCCAAAGAGGTTGAACTAGACAGCATTCCCACAAGCAGTGGATAAAAGTTCTTTTTTTCACTACATCTCTGCCAACACAGATCATTTAAGATTTGTTTGAGTTTTCTTGTATATATATGTGTGCCATTCTTTTCGGTATGAGATGAGTTATCATGTCAACTTGATTTGGATTTCTCAATTAACAATTGATGATCAGCATGTTTTCATGTGCCTATTAGCCATCTGTCTTCAGAGATACGCATTCCTTTTCCTTATTTTTGGAATAGTTTCTAGATGATATGAATTATACATTCCACATGATGAATAAACATAGGTCTTCAGGAGTTCTTTAGTTCCCTCACTTTCCAGACTCCTTAAGTTTACTATCTTTGTAGTGCTCTTAATGAAGAGAATCTTGTTGTCCACAACAAAAAAGACAGAAAAGGAAAGCTTCCTCTCTTGTCCTCTTTGACTTCTGGTGCAGCATGGCACTATTTGAAAAATACATTCAAGGTAGGCTTTATTTTAAGCACAAGGTAAAAGGGACTATTTTAAGCATTATCACAGAAGAGTTGCTCTGCCAATGAGGAGTTTTATGGTCTGGAAATTGGTACAGAATATGGATGAGATCTCAGAGTCCTTTTCAAGCTGGACTTTTTTTTCTTCTTCCTTTCAGGTGTCCTTGAATGAAGGGAACACGGAGAGTGTAAAAAGAGGAGTAAAGAAAGTTGTTAAAGAAAGGTGAGTAGCAGTAAATTTGGAAGGTGAAGTGAAGGATTTCTCTTGGGCAAATGGGAGTGTAAAGAATGCTGCCCCAGTAGGATGGGCTAAAACAACATAGGAAGAGAGTTAACCAGAGGATTCTTTTGGGAAAGCTTCTTAATTGAAGCTTATTGTCATCTGAAAATTGAGTGTTGGGCTGGAGTGATAGCTGACCTGGTTCAAACCCCTGATCCGCATATGGTCTTCAAGCACCTCTGGGAGTGATCCCTAGTACAGAGCCAGCAGTAAGCCCTGAGCACTGTTGTATGTGGCCCCCAAACAAAAATAAATAAATTTAAAAGTTTACTGTTGTTAATTGAAAGACCAGATCTTGGAATTGAGCCTTTTGGTAGAGCATTTGGCTATTAGGAATTCCTACAAAGGAATGAAACATGATCAGCATGTTTTCATGTGCCTATTAGCCATCTGTCTTCAGAGCTACTCATTCCTTTTCCTTATTTTTGGAATAGTTTCTAGATGATATGAATTATACATTCCACATGATGAATAAACATAGGTCTTCAGGAGTTCTTTAGTTCCCTCACTTTCCAGACTCCTTAAGTATACTATCTTTGTAATGCTCTTAATGAAGAGAATCTTGTTCTCCACAACAAAAAAGATTTCAGGTGGCAGTAAACTTATATTTAAATAAACATATTTCTCTGCAGATACTTATAAGTGCAATGATGCAACAAGAGAAGGTTGTAGACTTGATTCTACTAAGGCTGTGGACTTCAGTGCTATATTTCATCACAATATTTGCAGCCTTTTATTGAAGTTCAAGAATCTTGTACGTGTCCCTACTTTTGGGGGTTTGTTTTGGGAACACACTTGGTGGTTCTCAGGGCTTACTCTTGGCTCAGCCCTCAGGGATCACTCCTTGTGAAGTTTGGGGAACCATATGGGGTGCCAGAGCTCCAACCCAGGTGGGTTGTGTGCAAGACAAGTGCCCTTCCCGCTCCACCAAAGCTCCGGCCACATACATCTACTTATTTAAAGGAATGCCTAATGATGTTGTGAGCAGAAAAGACCTAACTTTTCAACTTGATCAGCATTTTCCAAAATGGGCAATACTATCCCTACCTCTCTGTAGAGGGTGCTTGAAAGGTGGGAGGGGGAAGGCGATAGTATCCTTGGGTGTAATTGGAGAGGCTCTTTTTTTTTTCACTTCAGGAAGATAGATTTGGAGGGGAGTGCTGAGTACTTTGTCTTTCTGAAAGGGGGCAGCCTGCCAAATAAGTCTGGAAGTCTGGAAGATAGATTTATCTTCAGATTAATTGCTCATTTTCTTTTTAAAGCCATCATTGTTGATTTATTTGTAGCATAAATTTATTTGTTGGTATCTATCATCACTTGAGACTAATAAACAATTGCTTTTACACTTTCCTAGTAAAGAGGTACTGGTTAGTCCCTACAACACTACAACACTTCCCCTAAGAGCGGGATATAACCAGCTGTCACACTTAGTCCCAAGTGGCTTTTTTCCTTGTATTTTAACATTGGTGGGCTGGAGCGATAGCGCAGCAGTAGGGCATTTGCCTTGCAAGCAGCCAGCATGGCCAAACAGAGTTTGATTCCTCCACCCCTCTCGGAGTTCCCTGCAAGCTACCAAGAGTATCTCACCGGCCTGGCAAGCTACCCAAGATGTATTCGATATGCCAAACACAGTAACAAGTATCACAATGGAGACGTTACTGGGCCCGCTCAAGCAAATCGATGAACAACGGGAGGACAGTGACAGTGTTTTTCCAAACACATTCAGTGGTCTGGCTGAAATCCAGTGGTATATTCTTATTTGTGTTATATGAGAGAACTAATGCGGGATTAAGGGCATAATTTGGACTGGATTTGGAGAAACTGACAAGGAATAGGCTTAGATTTTAACTCAAAATCAGGAGATAAACATTTTTGTCCTGTGGACCTGCATGAAGGGTAAAGGGGAGATAAGGGTTACCAGATGAGAGGAAGATATTGGACAGGAGATAAATGATGTAATTACAAACTGACCATAAGTATGCTAAGGAATAAATACCTAGGTCTTACTCTCTGCCTGCCATAGGCAAAATTGGCTCAAGTTAATGGGAAAGGGTACTGGGAGTGATCTTCATAGATTTGCTTTCCAGGGGGATACAAAACAGGATGAAGAGGGATGTCAAGTGGGTCAGAAGGTGGCAGATGAAAACTGCTCAATTCAGTTTGCATCCACCTTACTATGAGAACTGGGGAGAATCAAGTGGTTGAAAAGACCACGTGTATATGATGTTTGTTAAAAACTATAAAAGAATAAAGTAAACCATTGTTGAGAAATGTTGGATTATCAAAAGAAGAGTTCTCAAAATCTCCACATGGTTAACCTGAAATCAAAATGAACCAAAGGAAGTGGAAAATATGTTGGTAGAAAATATGATGAAAACTTCCCTTCTAAATTTTCTTTTCTTCATAATGACACAAGTGTGTGAGGCCTTTCAAGAGTTTTACCTCAGCTCCAAGCAAGGACCAGAATAAGAAAAGATAATGTTGTGTTCCAGAATAAGACCCACATTTCTTTGTTTTTGTTTGCATTGGGAGGGGGACAGGGGGCACACTTGACTGTGCTCAGGACTTACTCCTGGTTTTGCATTCAGGAATCACTCCTGGGGATCTCAGGGGACTATATTGGGTGTCAAAGGATTGAACCTGTGTGCAAGGCTAGTGCCCTACCTGCTGTACTATTGCTTCAGCCTCTCAGGTTTTTTTTTTTTTCACAGAATGAATACTAAGTCATGACTTGGAATCGATACAGAAAGTTTTCATAAATCTTAAATACTGGATCTGGGCTTTCAGAGTGAATGGGTAGAACCCGATGCTTTAAAAAGCAAGCTACATAAGAACCTTGCAGTTATGACTTCTGAGCTTTGGAAAATAATATGCTTATGAGAAATCAAATCAATAAAAATACTAATAACTAAGTATCACTTCCACTAACATTTTAGGGCACTTTTATTTTTTATTTTTTATTTTTTTAATGAATCACTGTGAGGGCACTTAATTTTTCAGGTTTTTAAAATATTTATTTTTTTTGGAAGTTAACATGTGAATAGGAAACGGGAAAAAGAAGCAAAGAACAGTCATCCACAATTATATGCAGTTATGTCTGACATGTCCTTCTAGGTCCTGTTTACCTACACAACTAATCATCCATTATGTTATTAGATCATATGTGTATGTATCATGCTTCTTTATATACCATAAATATTTACCATTTCAAAGTCCCAAAGCTATAGAGTATTTGGTAAACAAAAATACACAACACCAACTGGAAGGAAAAAATTTAATCCAGCTTTCTTGACAATGAAAATTTCTTAAAAGACAAAAATGGCAGTAAGGCCTCTAGATAAAGATATTGGCATAGTTACAATTAAAATACTGCATTCCCTGTAATGTTCAAGTGAAAATGAGATAAAGCAACCCAATAATAAAGTATAAGCTTCTAAGAGAATTATCCACTCATTCTACTAAAATGTTAGTCAGGAAGCCTAGTGCTAATGAAGTACTGACACTGACACTGTGTTCCTGCATGCAGCCAGAGATGCATCAAACCAACCAGCAACATCCAATGTGACCAAAACAGCCCCTTCCCCTGCACGTCATTCTCCCCTGCGCTGCCAACCTCAGAAACAAGATCTGTTGTTTTATTACTCAGAGAAAGTTTAACAAGGTTATGTCCAAGAAGCTCCCTTTCTATCAGTTACAACAGGTATATACAAAATGGGTTAATTCACAAAGTTCTACTTTTTATCATACATTGTCATCTCAGGATACCTAAAAGTTAGATGTTACAAAGCAATCAATGAACCTTGTTCACAATAAACACAGATATACAAAAGTACACATCTAGACCTACAGTTATAATCTAGACTGTCTTCTAGCTGAGCTACTATCAGAGCCCTTCCCTTCACCCTTCCTCTTCTTTCTTCACCATTTCAGTGACCAAGTATAGGACAGATCTTGCTCCAAGAGGTGGATTAATAGACTCCCAGAAGACAGTCCTTCCTAAAAACTAAAAATTATATAGAAATCGTTTACTAATATTACTTGTTAAAATATACTGTATTAGGACTTATTTTATAGCCATGTTAGCTAAAATGTATATATAAAACAAAAGATAATCTAAATGTGCCTGTAAGATTCGTGGGAACAGAAGCCTTCCCTGCAAACCCCTGCCCAATAGTCAGCATTCCCTTCATCAGTTCCTTTCCCAGATACAGCCATTCCTATGAATTCTTTTTTAAAAGGTTCTTTTCTACTTTTAATGTTGTACACTTTCAAACATCTATGATTAAATGTTTCAAACAGGGATTTGTTTTGCCTTTTGTCCACTACAATCTGAGTAGGGCACTTTTCTTAAAATGGTTCTTCAGAGGAATTTTTATATTGTCCTCTTATATATGCTTAGATAATCAGAATTTAGGAACCGAAAATATTGATATGGGATTTTGAGTTATATGTTACAAGATATTTTATGATACTAAGTATGTAATCCATAGAGGAACTACAGATCTCTCTTTTTAGCTCTCTAATTGATTTAGTAATATGACAATAATAGCTGGGGCAGAGACATTCATTTTCTTTCAAATATTACAACTTTCTGCAGAGTTGACATTTAATCTACTTTGTTGATGTGGAAGCAGCTTCTAAGAGCAGTAGAAGAATCTGCTAGAGTAGTTAACACCAAGATGTGATATAGTAAAGGACTGGCTGGAGCAATAGGACAACAGGAAGGGTGCTTGACTTGCATCTAGGTAACCCAGGTTTTTTTTTAATTTTATTTATTTATTTATTTTATTTATTTTTTAGTGAAACACCATGAGGTACAGTTGTAGATTTACAATTTTTTGTGCTTGGGTTTGATTATATAATGATCAGATACCCATCCCTCCACCAGTGCTCATTTTCCATCACCATGGATAATATCCCCCCCACCCCCATCCCCCCATCCC